CACGGGGATCGATGTGGGGGGTTTCACATGTCCTTTTTTAAAAGCCCGAGCCGGTCCTCCCGGCGCCGCGACGCTCAGAAATCGCTTAGCTCGGTGCGATAAGCCGGGCGACGCGGAACGTCGGTTCCGCTCCCGTTCAGCCGCCGCCACCCCCGCACTTCCCTTCGAGCCAGACTTTCCGACCTTTGCAAGGCTCTTCCGCCCCCCGATAACCCGGACCGCGGGTTCCTGGTGGAGGTTCGCGGTGAACCACCGTAAAGGAAGTCACCCGCCACATAGTCTCGAGTCTCCCTTCGCGGGGGGTCGCCGGGGGTAACGGGGGAGTTCCCTCCCCTCGGCCCTCTTTCATCTCCTTCATTACTCGAATTGCGTATATTATGTTGCGTATGTTACATTGCACTCTTAATGCCAGCTAATTTTCTTTTTTTAAGTATTAAAGATGTTCCCCGTATACCACCCCTCGAGGATATCTCTGGAACGAGCGTACCCCTTGATTTAAGATCGAGGGATGAAGGCATCGGTAGCTGGAGAAGGGAAGGGCTCAAATTGAAAATAAGGTCCTGGTCACGTACGACTCCAGGGCGTTATCACCCTCCACGGAGGGTGTTCCGTCCCCCGCGCGGGGAGGCCGGGTAAACGCTTCCGGGACAAAGAGGGACGGGGAAACTTATCCGCGGCCGCGTTAATTGAACGTCCTATTTCTCGACTCGGGCACCGGCAATCCCTGTGGCCGGCACGCCTCAATTTGGCCGGCGGGGGTGGCGACGAGATCCTTCCTCGGCCCCCCTCCTGATTCAATTGGAAATAGTTGGAGGAAAGGTTCGTTTAAGCGGAACCCTCGCGCCGGGAATTCCGGCGGAATTGAAATTAATTAAAACACCGGCCCCGGTGGAGTCGCCGAGGACGGACTCCGGTCGCGGAATAGCGTAGAGAGGGTTAGAAGAAGGGCCCCTACGGAGGGGATGAAACTTCCCCCCCAGGGAACGCGCGGTTTTTCTGGCACGGGTCGGCGGTTCCCCGACTTAATTGGATTCGGATCGCTTGGGGAAACGATCGAATCGCGGGTAAGACGCGAGGACGTAAAAGGGGTGCGTAAGGGGGTGGGTTTCGCCGCGTTGGCTCATTTCCCGACTCCGTCCCATCGGGGCTTTGTCTCCTGGTGAGCTCCCGAGTCACGGCCGGGGTGTACTCCTCGGTAAACCCATCTCGGGGTTGCAGGGTACCGAGGGTACACCTATAGGTGCGCAGGAAGAGGGTGGGACACAGGGGTGGAGCGCACGCGGTGGACGAGCGTACCTTCTCTCTCCTCCGAGCGCGACCGATCCGCTCCCCTCTGTTTTCCCTGGATATCCAATTTCCATAGCATTAGACTCCTTAGGCGAGCGTAAACGAATCTCGAGGGGACGCGCACCCCCACCCCCCTCCCCCGTGTCCGAGATTCACGAGATCACCTCGACTCCTCGTAAACGGGCTCGCCCCCCAACTCGCTCCCTGTCGTTGCGCCCGAAATTAATTCGACGTGGACGGAAACCGCCGATGGACTCGTCGACTCGAAGTCGAAGTCGAGTGATGTGACTCCGCGAAACCATCGACAGAGGGTAGAATACGAAGGCACCCCCGGAAGAAAGTCCAGGAAGCGGCGCCGTCGGTAACAAACATCCCGGAGGTGTGCGTTTTGGCGGCGGTCCAGGCGCGGCTTCCGGGCCGCTATCGGAATAAGTCCCTCACGGGGGCACGTCGCCCCGCACCCACCCCTCCGAAGGGGGTGACTTCCTACGAGGGCACTTCCCGGGAACTTTTCTTGTCGATGGCCAATGGTAAAGTCCGTCTCCGACTGCGCACTCCCCCCCCGTGTTTCCTTTTTCCGCCGGTCCGCTCGCATTCCGCCCACGTTTCCTCCCCCAGCCACCCCCCAGCCACCCCCTCCCACCCACTTATCCCTCTGCGAAGACGCCTCGACGCGAGGCAGAGTTCGCGGTATTAACGTCGACGCCGAAGGGGAGGGGCGCGGCCAATTAGGCTCGGTTCCCATGGGACCCCCCTAGTCCTAGGAATTCTGGGGACCCTAGGGGCTCGTCCCGACCCGGAATCCTGGATTTTTGACCCGACTTCCTGGAGTTAAGGAGAACTCGCCCCCCCCGCCCTGCCTCGCGTGACCCTCCTTGGATCGGGCGCATCGATTTCCGGCTTTTCGCCTCGGTACCCTTTAGACCCCGTTCCGATATTTACTATCGACCCGTCGGCACCCTAATGCGCCAACCGGGAAGTCGTCCGTGCGGGCCGCTGCACCTCTTCTGGATCGGAAGCTCCGGATCGAGGAGACCCATCCTGGAAAGATCCTCCCCCGGGACGAGTCGGGACGTTTCCTCGCACTCGGGGCGTGGCTCGGACCCTACGGCTCCGATCTCCACCCGAAACGCATCGACCGGGCACCCCGTCTTCCGGGTCCCCTCCTGAGCCCCTTCCACCTGCGGAAAGACGTCCCGGCGAGAGGTGCGATAACCGACGAACCCTTGATACCGAGTTAAGGGAAAACGTGGTCCATATCTACCTCTACGTATTTTTCTTTCTTTCTTTTTTTTCAACCCCCCAGGCTCTCCATAACCTAGTTTAAGTCGATATAAACTCGGTTTAACGTACACCGTAAGTGTTGCCGATATTTCCGGTGTTTTATGATATGATAATGATGGACTTGGAGCGATTTCAGTATCTACATACCGTTCTACTCTTTATCGCGTATGAAAGTCGCCACTTAGGCCGGAAATCGTGTTCACCCGTTTATGTAATTGCGCGTATGGAAATCACATCGCGTAAATTCTGTCGGTACAGAAAGAAAATAGGAAATATTGGAAATCATTGTGTAATTTATTGCGTAATGAAGAGACTCGCGTAAATTGAGGGAGGAGGGTTTTTAGACGTCGCCGAAGAGTCGGGGCGAGATCGCGGCAACCCAAGATGGCCGCCGCGGCCCGGTCCCGGAAGTTCGGGCAGATCGACCGGAATCTCGGCAGCGTTTTCTTCGTGGCCTCGAGTCGGGTCGGGGGATGGAAGGAGGCTCGCGATTCCGAGTCGTCGGCGCGAGTCTTAAATTGATCTCGAGGGAGAAAGCGGCGTCGCGTAAGCCTCTTAAAAGACGTCGACGCCGGGCCGCGTTAAGGCGCTCTCGCGGTTGTTATTCCTCGAGAAACTCGGAGAGCTGATTTAACGTCGGCCCGTTTGCTCCTACGCGAGCATAGGCACACTCGGCTCCGAGGTTTCCGGAAATAGGGGGCCCCGGGGATAGGAGGGAATCTTAATTCGCTCCATCCGCTCGCTTCCTGTTTCCCCGGAGCCGGATGCGGCCCCTCCGCTCCTCCCTCGTAAACCGCGCGGGACGATCGACCCCCGGAATGTCAGCAAAAGCTTTGACGAGCTTAATGGCCCCGTCATTACGCCTTTCTTCCCGTGTATATCTAGCCGATGAAAGGCGCGCTCGTAACCCGGCAGTAGTAAAGATACCGTAAAACACGGCCACTATCGGCGGCCCGGGATTCTTCCGTCGTCCGAGCCGTTCGATGCCTTCCCGGGGTGGTTCGGCCGATCGGGCCGACCCCGGGGGAGGAGAGACATTGTCCGTCGACGAGACTCGTTCCCTGGAATCACGAGACCCCTGCCTAGATTTATTCCACTTAAGGTGAAGTGAAACCCCCTTCAAATATAACACTTTTTTTTAAGGGTATTAGACCATACTGTCCGAAACTTTGACACGTCACGCCTGATCATCTATGAATTGTCCTGACACATTGAAAATTTGGATTTTTGGAAATAATTTTTTAACTTAACCCAGACCAAAACGAAAGGGTCAGGACAATTTTACGACAATTTAGAACACTCTGGTAATCGATAAACTCGCATTTTAACGGAATAAAGGCAAGAAAAGTGTTGTATGCGCTTCTGTGCTAAAACGATGGGATTACAAGGTCTCGGAGTGAAAATTTAATTTAGGGCCCCAGAAAGCATGAATCCAGAGGATTTCTGGAGTTTCACTTCGATTTCTTGATAATTATTGTACGAAGACGACAGGTGGAGTATGCCATTTGGTACAATACTCAATATAATTCGACACAGCTGTCGATATAAAAATGAACATCGGCAACGTAGGCATTTAGAAAAATCTTCTTTATTGACGTCGATCAAGTTCCTCGACGTGTTTCACTTCACCTTAACCGACCCTGGGAAACATCGAAATCCTGCCTCGCGGCAGCTTCTTTCGTCAACGTCTTTCAGAGATAGACCGACGTTTGCGTCCTTTGACGCTTTTCCGTAAAGCAATCGGCCAATCGACCCGGACGGAGGAGAGCCATTGTTTGTCCGCGGAACTCATTCCGCGGAATTAGGAAGCCCCCGCTCGAATTTATTCCACTTAACCGCCCCTGGGAAAAATTCGAAACCCCCTCTCGCGGCGACTCCGACCCCATAGAGGAAGACTCGACTCCCGGATTGCGGAGCGGCGACATCTCGAGTCGCGATCCCGGACGCGGAATGTAGATTGGTCTACGTGCGGCCCCGATTCCGGGGACGACTCGGAACGAGACGACGGAAACTACTCTCCTGGAAGCTGCGACCGTCGGACGTCGTCGGTCCGTCGAGGTCCCCTATCTCGATAGCCCGGCGTCCCGGCGTCGGTTGACGTCGCCGACTTTCGCGACCGAGGCGGATTATCTTTCGCGCCGTGTTTAGCGAAACCTAAGTGGTATATCTCCTTTCTTTCCCCCTTATCCCGTGGGAGTCCGTAAGGTCATTAGCGGCGAGCTAACGAGCCGCCGCATCATCGGGACGTCGCGCTCCGTTGTAAGCGGACGCGATAGGAGGCGTCGCCGGCGATTTCGGCCGCGTCGGCGATAAGGCTCGAAGACTTCCGCGACGGCGGAAACCGCGAGAGGGACAGAGCCGCGGTTTAATAAGCGGAAGGAGCGATCCGGTAGAAGGCACTAACGAGGACCCTTTCTTTCTGCTTTCAGAACCTGAAGAATCAGATCATGACGACGAACGTTTGGGTGGAGCAGGTGAGCATCCGGCGTCCTTCCCCGCGTTACCGCTGCGGAATTCCAAGAGCGATTCGGTCTCCCTCCGGCCGCGGATCCGCCCCCGCCCCGAAGGGAACATCCGCTGAAAGCAGAAATTCCTGTAGCCCGGCCGAGGGAATTCGTAATCGCGGCGAGAGGGAGGAAGAGAGAGAGAGAGAGAGGGCTCGACGGGGCGAGAGGTGGTTTCGGCTCGGCGACCCCGTCCGCCCGGAGATCACGGGAATCTCCCGTAATCCTTGACTCCCGGGAAACAAGGTGGGAGCTTTCCGTCGACCGATTCCGGACCTCCCTTGGCCGAATGCATTTCCGAGCCCGCCGGAAATCGAGTCCGGCTAGTCCCCTCGGAATTGCGGAGCTCGCGACGTCTCGACGCAGAAGGAGCCCCCGCGATAAACCGCCCCCCCCGGTCGCGGGGGCCGGGATTAACCGGCGGCGGAATTTCCCCGCACAGTCGGTTTGGAATTTCAAAAGAGGCGAATTTCATTCCGCCCTTGTTGACGACGAAATCGGAATCGCGAACGGGTAGGTTGGTCTTTATCGGGGGCACTCTCCGCCCCCGGTCCGCCGGCCGGCGGGCGGCCGCCGCGAGCGGAAAATGGTGTTCGGCTAAAAGGAGCTTTCCACCTCGCCTCCTGGGATTATGCAAGAGTCGGCCGGGCGCGATTGGACGGCGTAGGTCAGGGACTCTTTGACGCTCAATGGGCGCAATAAAAGGGAACGCCGAGGCATCGCTCCTCCCGGCTTTTGTCGCCGGCAAGAGCGGAGGCTTCTCTGTGGGATTCTTTGCCGGGAGGAGCGAGAGGGTGGGCGATCCCCTCCCGGAGGAGGAGGAGTCCGTTTTCCCTCCGGAATACCCGGCGCCGATCGACGGTCCTTCCCTGGATTCGACTTTTCGCGGATATTTCGGGATCGTTTCGGGACCCGCGACCGCCCAGGACTCGTAACGTCGTCTCCTTCGTCTCCTCTCGAGATCTCTCCTCCGAGTCCTCTTCCCCTCCCTACAGGGACCTCGTTTTCCGCATTTTTCGGTACTTCCCTGCCAGGGATCGTTCGTCGACTCCACCCGGTGATGACTCCTGGATGACAATCGGGACGATAAAGGAGGTAGTACCGTCGTCCAGGAAGGGGGCACCCCCCAGGAAATAAGTTTGTTTTTCCTTGTCGACGATCGAGGTCGCCCGACTACTCGACGTTATCTCGTCCCTCGAAACGTCTTTATGGTCGCCGTGACGTAGACGCGGAAGATCGTCCTCGCCGTGCCGTCAGGATCGAGCGATCCTGATCCAGGTCGAGGCTTCTCGATCCTCGACCATCGACCGATCCTCTAGGTCTATCCTCGGTTAAAGGGACTCTCGATATAAGACTCGTCCCAGTCCGGGACTCCAGCTCCCGTGGGCGCGCGCCGCCGCCCTTTTCCCTCGCTCGGCTAACCCCGAACAACCGCCCCCCACCCACCCCCGCTATATACTGGATTCGTATAAACCGGCCGTATTTATTCTCCGTACGACATCCGTTATCGAGGAGATGGCTTCGACGCGTTCCCCCGTGTCCTCGGGAATAAATGTCGAGAGTGGCGAAGAAAAATGCCCCATTGTCGACGGGGGTGCCAACTTGCTCGGGACCCGTCCTGATAAAGGGCGCCTCCAGGACCCCCCCTGCTCGTCCCTGCCTTTGGGAACTTCACTCGACCTATAAAATTGAACTTCGTAATGTCGTAGCGATAAACGCTGCAATTTTCACACCCTATGGTCTTATGGGACGCGAATATGTGGGAATTTATGCAAGGAGGTCGCGTACCCGGTCATTTCGTGTCCCACTCGGCTGTCGACGGGTTTAATTGCCCGGAGAGGGGGGCACTTTGTTAATTTAAACGATCCATTTTTCCTACGCAATTGGGGAAATTCCCTCCCTCCTACGACTGTCGGCCGGGACTTCTTTTAATCTCCGGCAGTTAGTCCGCGGCACCTCGGAAATCCTTTGATCTCTCGGTAGCTGATCCTATTGTTCCTTACCCCTCCGCAGCTTCGGATTCGTACTCTATTTCATTTCCGGGAAATGACGTCGTCGATGCCCCTCCACCCCCGATTCGACTGCGTATCCATTGTTCACTCCATGGCCCTTCTCGACCCTCCACTAGTTTTTCGTGTATCGATGCACGCCGCTATTTATTTTTGCCGTCGAAAGCCCCGGCTTCCACTTTTTTCCCGGTTCGCCGTATTTGCACGGTTATTTACACATTTATCTTCCACGGTAGCTCGGCATATCGATGCGCTAATGCTCCGTTCAAGGCATACTTCAAATACCTACACGAGTGCGTGGACTGATCGCAGATGCAGATTCGGAACCCTCTATAAAAATCGCGACTTTTTGAAAAATCGCCATCTCTCTTTCTCTCCCTCTCTCTCTCGTTACCGAGGAGGTATTCACTCAGGAAATCGTAGATTTTAATACCGGAGATCACGCGGAAATCGGCCGGAAATCATTGAAACACTATTCACATTTTGAGGCCGAACGTCACTCGTTACGGAATCGCGTTATTGTTCATATAAAATCAAAGCCAATCGATTCGCAAAGAAGTAAATCATTTTCCCTGATTTCCAAGTGAATAGCCCCTCGCTCGTTGCTCAAAAATCGAGGTTGGTCCAGCGGAAGTGTTGATAAAAAATGAAAAAAAAAAATAAAAAATGTGTTTCGAGCGCGTTAAAACGCTCCTTCGAAATCCCGAAACCGCGCATGGGTTTACTGTCAGTTATGGCAGAATCAATGAGTTTGGTTTCTGACAGACTCGTTAGTTCTGAGATGCCAGAGGCGAATGGGGGAATGACGACCTAAAGACGTCCTCTCAACCCTCGGGGGTGAATTCCCCGAGTCGAGGATCGACGAGCGTTTACGTCGGCGGAATTACCGGGCGACGTTGCGGGGCGCGACGTCGACGGGGCCGGAGGTCGTTTACAGGATTTTAACGCGGAAAACGGGGGAAATCCTCCGTCGGTCCAATTCTCGTTGTTCCGTCGAACCGGCACCCAGGCGATGGCCACTTCGGACGCGTCCAGGACCGGAATTGCCCCCGCCCCACGCCCTTAATTAATCGAAGCTATATTGACCCGCGAGCTTTCGTTGCCAATACCGGGCGGCGGTGCTCTCGGCGCATTCCGGATATTTGCCGCGGTCGGCTCCCTCTGGCCGATCCGGATGGTCGATCCGCAACGTCCGATGATTTTCTTCGGGCCGGACCGCCGCGTCGAAATTGACTGCGCCGGATTCGAGGGAAAGCCGTTCGCGGCAAATGAAATCGCTCGAAACGCGAGGGGTTGGCCGCGGAACGTCGAGGTTTGTTCTGCCGTCATTTCGAGCGACCATTGCCGCTGTCTGGACCATCGATTAACGCTGGCAGGGACGTGGGTGGAATATCACGGGTTTGACGGGACGTTACTCGCCCTGACGAGCGCTAATTATTCCTGGCATAATTAATAAGCGGGAAGGATCGGCGGCGGCCGGTGCGGGCGGCGCGGGAGATCAGCTGATCGCGACCGCCGACCGCGGATCGCCGAGCGACCGCCTCCGATCGCGCCGCCCTCGATTCCGATTCTCTGAAGAATTCATAACGACCTCGCCTCTCGATTTAAAGCCCCGGCCGCGGTTTCATTTTAAATTCATCAGAATGGCTGATCGAGTTTATCATTCCCCGATGGAGGTCGCCGCGCCAGTGGACCAGGAACGCCGTGAAAAGAAATCCCGGGATAAATATTGAACGATCAAGGGGGAACGGGGGATCCTGTCCATCGGTGATTAGGATTTCTCGCGGAATGTCCGCCACGGGGTCGCGAGGTGGATGGTCGAGGAAAGTCGATACCGGGGAGTGGTCGGGGAATAAATTTGGCGGACCACTATCTCGCCAGGAACAAAGTCCCCGGACGGAGGCCGGCGATCCGATGCAAATTAAATTTCCCGCCAAGCCGGGCCCTCCGCCGCGGGATAACGCCGCAAGGTTTCCGCGCCCCCTCGTCTCCGAGTCTTCTCGCCCGAGTTCCGGAGGGATGAAACTTTAAACCAGCAATTTTTCAATCCCTCGGATCGCCGGCCAGGTAACTGCAACTCGTTGGGGGAATTGCGCCGCGAGGAACCTCCCCCGTCGGCCGCGCCGCAGCGGATCGCCCGATAAATTTCTCCGCGATTGTTCCGATTTGTACCGCCGATCCATGTGCCACGTGGAACCGCTGCCAATGGTTCCCGATGATCTGCCGGAAAATTGGCCGGATCCTCCGGTGGAGATTCGCCGGAGAGGGAATCTCGTGCCGTGATTCCGTCCCGCCTCGTTCCTCCGGCCTGATTGCCGATCATCCGGCAAAGTTTGGCGCGAAATCGCGACCTGGAGAGAACTCCCACCTCGTCGGCGGTTCCGTCAAAGTGTTCCAAGCCGAGGTTACCCTTTGAGTCCGCCCCGGAGCCGCTGATCCGCGAGCGGCGCATATCCGATCAAGGTCAATTTCGGACCTCCCGGGTGCTGGTCGGCTCGACTGGCTGGAAATTGAGAGAGATCCGGATAATTGAGGCGCTGCGATCTAAAACGGTTCCCGACGCGTTGTTCCATCGATCCATTGTTGGCCGAGACCGGCCGTCCGTCGACTTATCGTAACGAGGGTTGACCAACGGCGAGGTTAACCTCGACCGCGGTCGATCCCGACCCGTTCCGAGGGTGGACGTTCCCCAGGACAAGAACTGGAAAAAGTCTCCTCTCGCCTTTATTCGAGGTATATCTCGTCGATCTTTCCAAGGCGCGATCTTTCCTCGTTCCGTAATCCCCAGGTCTCGAGAGCTCGTCGCCCTGAAAAGTGAATCGGGAAAGTGAGATCTCTCGTCGCGGCTTTTTGTCCGCCCGTCGGAGGCTCGGATAAAAGTTTGGAAAAGTAATTAGGAAAGTTGGGAAGGTACCTAGTGGGGGAAGTACCCCCTGGGGGGCGCGATCGAGCCTGACGGGGGGTCGACGGACTCTGAACGAGTCGATCGCGGATCGAATTTCGATGTCTTCTAGGATGAAGTGGTACAAAGATACATAACTCCTATCTCAGATTTTCGCTGATCTAACGATGCGAGGGGTACTTGCGGAAAATGTGGGAACTCCGATCCTACCTGACCGAAACATTACCTACCGACGTGCATTACCTGAAATGCTTTTAATCTTGCAAAGTGAAACGATAATCCGCGGATGACATACAGAACGCGATGTCTTTAACGCGATAAAGATTAGCGGAACCGCTAGCGGGCGATAATTTTTAATTGCAAAATTTCATCGAACCCCTTAAGTGAGGAGGATTTCAATAAATGGGGTTGGAAACTCATTCTACTTAGCGTCTTCTAGGATAAAACGAGCGCCACTCTCTGATGCCTCCGTTCCTCTGTTTTCCAGGAGTGGAACGATTACAAGCTCAAGTGGAACCCCGACGACTACGGGGGAGTCGACACTCTTCACGTGCCGTCGGAACACATATGGCTGCCCGACATCGTCCTGTACAACAAGTAAGTGGTCTCGCATATCGGGTACTCGGTCATGCAGGGTAGTCGGGGGTGGTAGAAAGAGCGAGGGACCCTTTCTTCCGGGCTCCAGGGGTGGTTCTCCCCGCAGTCGCGCCCCGTCCCGGGCACGCTTTCGTTTCGACGGAACGCGCTCCGTCGTCCCGAGGCGACCCCCCGCGAGGCGGTCCATCTCGGGGATAATTGGCCGCAGATGGACCCGGGGGAAGATCCTTCATTCCGCGCGGCGGGTCTTGGAAGAAGAGTCCGTAAAGAGGACGTTTACGATAATATCGGTCCTCTAGGTGGAGGCGCGGACGGAATCGCGGCCGGAGATAATCCGCGACGGGCGATCCGACCGCGAGGGGTTGGCGGGGGGTCGGTAAACGGCAGGGAGGACCGTTTTACAGGAGCCGGCCGAGTGACTGCTCTTACCCGAAAGAGAGGAAACGCGGCCCGGATCTCCGCTAGGCGAGCCCGTAAAACCCGCCCCCTCTTCCGTCTTGGTCGTTTCGCGCCAATGGGTCACACCTGCTTCCAGCATCCCCCTAACGCGCTCTGCAGCTGCAGCCGCGGCGAGCGGACTCCCCGCCGAGTCGTCGTCCGCTTCCGGGCCGCGCGGTCCACCCCGCGTGGGAAAAGTGCACTCGGCAGTTCCTTCCGGTTTATGGCCCGTCCGGCCGCGCGGAAGATCCGGCCGATCCAGGGTGTTTATTCGCGTTCCCACTTACCCCCGAAAGGAAGCCCGGGTGACCCGGCGGTGAACCGCGTCCCCCACGGGGCGGGAAACGCCCGAGGGCCGGGGCGACCCGGGGGTGGCTCGCCTCCCCCGGGCGCCTCGGCAGCGTCCTCGCAAAATGCAAAGTTAAAATATGCACGGAACGTACATGCGAGGGAATCTCGTTACTCCATTATCACCGGATTACCGCGCCTGCAACTCATCCCAGAACCGCGGGTAATCCATTCCCGGCCACTCCCGGGTAACGAAGTAACACCCCCAAGTAGTAGGCGCCTAGGCGCAGGCGCAGGGTCCCGACCGATAACGCTTGGCGAGAGTCTCCGTCGAGCAGAGGGTCGCTTCCTGGGGCGGCGAAGTCGCCACCCGTGCCGATTACCGTATCGCCATTACGGGAGACCGGCGCCGATTTATCGTCCGTTGGTTCCCTCCACCCCCTTACCCTCTTTTACGGCCTCCTCCCCCATCCCACCCTCTTCCGAGTCGCCTCGATCCATGCATGCGCGGTTCCTCCAGGGGATGGCGGCCGCATCGCTCCTCGGGGACCGGGCCGATCGCGCGATCGACACTCGCTTCCCGACCTCGGCCAAGTCCGGACGAACGCGTGCGGATCCGAGCCTCGGCCAGAGGGCTTAACTCGAGGCGGGCTGTGTGCCGAGTACTCGAGGCACCGGCGTCCGGATAGGTCCGGGACTGGTACGTGCTGCCGGCACTCGAGTACTCGCGCAGCGCCGGGACGACGGCGAGGGCGCCGGGTGACCTAAAATATGCCAAGTACATGGCCTCTGTTATATCCGAAGTAACTCGCGGCGCGTACCCTGTACACAGCCGCGCATAAACATACGAGGCGACTCGCCCTCGAAACCGCCCCGCACCCCGTTTTCGCGTTTCCCGTTTCCGCGTTTCTCGAGCGAGACCGACGAGCGAGCGGACGGATTAATCCGCCGCTCCGCCGACCACCCGGAGCCGTACAATTGGCCATTTTGGAATCTCCGGGTCCCTCCACGTACGTCGATGCATCGAACCAGAGGAAAGGGGTACGCACCGCAAGGTTCATAGATTCGCCGCTAGGTTTCTCTTTTCTCCCTAGGAGGGTAACTAGAGCCACCCCCGAGGACTCGAGCACTAGGCTGTGTCAAGGTGCGACGCACGGTCGGCCGCAAATGGGTCAGAAGTCGAGAAAAGTTCCTCGCGAGCACGTTTGCGCCGGGGACGAGGGGTAACCCTTTGTCGTAACGGTTGCAGTTAATTACCGGGCGGCGCGTTATCGCCGGAGGGCCGGAAGGAGGGGGGAGGGGTTCGATCCCGGAGGAAAGAGAGCCGATCCCGAAGGAACGGTAACGTCGCGCCTTGCGTCTTATATCGATCTTCCCTCCCCCGGTCCCCCGGCGCACCCCTCGGCGGTCGGCGCGCACCCCTCGGCCGCGCCATCGGCCCCACCCTGGCGTCCTCCGGAGACCCCACCCTCGCGGGACCGAGGGCCGAAACTACCCCTCTGGGTTTTTCCCTCGGCCCGGTGGGATCTCGCTTTTCGCCGGAAAAGCCGAAGGCCGCGTTTACCCGGGTCCAGGGGGTGGCGGTAGTAGGGGATGACGCGCTTTCGGGGGCGGCGGCGATACCCTCCGGTCGCAGACGATTCCGGATTCCGACGATCCTGGGCTCTCGCGACCGCTTTTCGGTGCGACGCGGCGATCGATCAGGGGTAAACACCCCCTACCAGGGCGCGCAGATAAGGGAGGGTAAAAACTCATTCGGAGGTGCGGCTACGACACGGGGAGGCGAGAGGTAAACGATTTATTTAGCCACTTTGAGTGCGAACGAATCGCGCCCCTCGTCCTCCCCCCGCAGGGGTGCCGCTCGCGGATCCAAAACGGCCGTGTAGGGGATGAACGCGCCGAGCCGAAAACGTCGTCTGCCTCGTCGATCCGCGCACACGCTCGCCTCTGTTTTCCCGTATTTTCCCGTATCGCGTATAATGGCCTTGGAGTACACTTTGAGCGCCGTAATCGGGACGCCCCGGGCACGGAAGCCGGCAAGATGGAAGGCCACGTACTTAAATATGTTTTGCATTATAATCTTCGTATTACGCCGACGGAGGAACGCCCCTTGAAGAAGCAATTACACGGTCTCCGAGGGAGGAGCTAGGTCTGGCCGCGGTGCGAGCACTTCGGAGATGCGGCTCGGGTTGTCCGTGTGGATGAGCCCCGAATCTTTGGGGGCGCAGCCAAAATCCACCTCTGAGTCTTTCACAGGGTGGGTATCTCCGCGACCCACCCCCGGGTGGACTGGGGTCAGGAGTTCCCGGGAAAATCAAGGAAAGTCAATCGCGACGTCCATGGGGCTTCGTCGTTTCCCATAACCCGCGGTTTTGCATACTCTCCCGTGTATACGAGGCGCGGCACGGTTTTTGAAATTGCTCCGGTTTGCAGCCGAGTTGCATCGCCCTCGAAGGCGGTAATACGATCGCCGCCGTTACCGCGGCGGAAGGAGCCATAAAAGGTGAAGAAATTCTCGCCGTGCTGCCGCGGCGGAACGAGTTACCGCTGAATCCACCGACGGGGGCCACCATTCGATATAGTGCGCCGGCTAAATGAACAAGGGGTGGGAAGCGGTGCAACGAACGCGCCGGCAACGGCTGCAACCACCCCGGCGACCTGCATGCAACGGGCGTTATGGAACGGCCCTGTCTTTCCGGGGGTGTAAATTCCGTGGAAAATGCTCCTCCCGCCCCTTCGAGTCGGACCTCGCACCCCGTGGTTTTGAATCCTCCCCCCGTTTTCCGGGTGGAGGCGCCGCCTAATTAGAAGCGCACCCTTAACTCCCCCGAGGGATCTCGTGCGATGCGAAAACCCAAAAGGGCGAGGGACGGCTCGATTGCCCGGGACGGATTCGACCTATTGCTCCAATTTCTGCCCCGGCAATTTCTTTACGCCGAAAATTCCGCTCGCGCTCCAATAAGCGTTCCTTGGCTTCGGCATTTTTCCGGCGAACCGGCAGCCGGGGCTCGAGTGCTTTTACCGCACCACCGCCGCGGGGTATTTGCGGCCAGAGTTTCTTCAAATTTCGGGGATACTTTTCCACCAAGGGTCGTTATCTGCGGTGCAGACGAAATCAGCTGGCGGGGACGCCGGTTCCTCCTTCCCTCGATGTTCTTCTTCTTTTTTTTTTTTTCTTCTTCTTCCTTTATCAGCCGTAACTACTCCCGGGGGACCTGAAAAATTTCCGGGCGACGATACGCGCATAATCATGTATAATTCAGCTCCTATTTCGAGTACGCCAACTTTACCGGGTACCTCCATCATCTCGGTCCCCATGGTGCAGCTTATGTACCGCAAAACTGGGGTACATCGTGTCTCTCGAAGTTGTCGACTTTCTTCCCTCCGTCGAGTCCCCCTCGTCGAGGAAGCTTCCTCCCACGCCTTCGTGCCGATTTTCGCGGATCTGCAATATTCCCACCGTTTAGATAGGGCACGTCGATACGGCGATTAATATTGATGGAAAAGTGTGGACTCACGTGGCGCTCTCGCCGAGGCGGCCTTCGCCGATTTCCAGGCCGCTTTTATTCGCTTCCGTTTATCCCCGAAAGCTTCTCCGCGCTCCTCTCGTCGGCCTAAACCCCTCGCAGTCGCCGCGCGTAATGGCCGAAACAAAAATAGCCGCGAGCGTGCGTGCACAAAGCTGCAAGTGCAGGCTGCATAGCGGGGGTGGCCCGCAAAAAGCATTCCACCCCCGCGTGTTTTCACTCCGGGTGGAATTGGCATCGAAGCATTATCCGGTTCTTCGCGCGCGAACGCCCAATCGAGCTTGCCAGTTTTTCACGTAGGGTGAACTCTCTCGCATCCGGGGGACTCCCCCTGGTCGAAATTAATCAATGCTCCTTCGAGAGCACCCTCGATAAGCGGCCGACCTCGATTGTCTTGTTTCGCCGAAACTCCGGCCAAGTGGTGACCCCCTCGTTCGCGTCGGCGCAACGATGGCCCTCGACTCGGCGATATTTACGCCACCGATAATTCCGCGACGTTTCCGCGAGCTAGAAGTCGTATCCCGCTCGCGGAGACTCGCGACCGGAGTTCATCGAGAGAGCCTCGTCGCTTACCTATAATTAGTATATAAAGACGAACTTACAACTCATGGGAGGTCCTCACGGCGCGCCGCCTGCCCTGCAAATGACTGCTGGCGCGTCCAGCGTGTCCTTTTATACCCCGGGACGGCCACCCCCTCCGCCGCTTCCACCGCGCCCCCACCCACCCGTATATCGCGCTCACAAAAAACCTATTATTTTCGGCTCCATATCGACAAACATTGGAAAACCACGGAGAGTGGTCGCCCCGTTTGAGCGGCGCTCGGCGTGATAAGTTTATCGGGGGGGTGGGAAAAACGGGACGCGGGTTTACGGTGAGACAACACCCCTTACTTAGCGCTAAGGAAGTACGTGACCGGAATAAGTTCGGCCGCGTAATTAATGATAAGGCGCCGGAGAAAAAGTGCGGCCCCGACGCCGGAGGATTTAGCATTCCGCGTGTGAAGGCTTCTTCCTCCCCTCGTCGCATCAGCAAACGGACGAGGGACCGTATCTCTTCGTTAATTACGGTTCCTTCGGGATCGGCATTAGATGTTCGGGGGTAACTCGAACCGCCTCCGTTTCGCGGCCATTTTTAGGAACTCGAATTCGACCGGGCCGCCGCAAAGGTTCCGCGAGAGATCCGCAAGCCCCCGCGTCGGGGCGATACTCGTCCCGCGTAATTGGCCGGTAAATCACTCCTAATTAACCGGAGCTTTCCGCTCGATTCTTCTTCCAGCGCGGACGGGAACTACGAGGTGACCATAATGACCAAGGCGATACTGCATCACACCGGCAAGGTGGTGTGGAAGCCGCCGGCGATCTATAAATCATTTTGCGAGATCGACGTCGAGTACTTCCCCTTCGACCAGCAGACCTGCTTTATGAAGTTCGGCTCGTGGACTTACGACGGATACACGGTAAGACCCCTCCCTCTTCTCTCTCTTTCTCCCCATTCGGCCACTTCGTAAAGCGCAGAGTCTCCATCGGCGATCGTTCGGTGCCGGGAACGTTATTGCGACCCGTCACCCGGAACATTTTTATATCCCTTTGTGAGGGCCGGATGAAAGGGCGGCGGATTTAAAAGGCAAAAATAGAGCCGCCCGACCTGGCTAAAATAGATCGCCGTGTAAGCGATTTCCAAACCCCCGGCCGGTCACTCGCGAACCGCTGGTTTGCATTTCAATTGCATGCGCCGAGACTTTCCTCGTGACGAGCCGTAATCAAAGTTGCCCGGAGCTCTCCGTTCCCCTCATTTTCCGAGCAGTGCTATCGAGTGCATCGAGTCGATCGAATTCCGAGAGACACCGCGCGGAGCGATTTCGATACCTCGATGCACCGGGCTCTGCATCGAAAATTCGGATGCGCGAGGGATCGCAAGATGTATTGTCAATGCTTCAAGGATCGGGAGATGTAAAATTTGTAAGATTTTGAAGAGATCGGGGAAAGAGTCGGTTGGGGAGAGTGGGAACCCGATTCTTCCAACGTTCGCGAATCGAGAGCGGAGATTACCGACTTCCGGTGGAAGGGAAGTCAGGTCGTAGGACTAATCGTCGAATGCCCCTTAGGTGGACCTGAGGCACCTCGCCCAGTCGGAGGACTCGAACCAGATCGACGTGGGGATCGACCTGACGGACTACTACATCTCGGTCGAGTGGGACATCATAAAAGTGCCTGCGGTGAGGAACGAGAAGTTCTACATCTGCTGCGAGGAGCCCTACCCCGACATAATGTTCTACATAACCCTAAGGCGCAAGACCCTCTTCTACACGGTCAACCTGATAATCCCCTGCGTGGGGATCTCCTTCCTCTCGGTGCTGGTGTTCTACCTGCCGAGCGACAGCGGTGAGAAGGTGTCGCTCTCGATCTCGATCCTCCTCTCGCTGACCGTCTTCTTCCTCCTGCTGGCCGAGATCATCCCGCCGACCTCGCTGACGGTCCCTTTGCTGGGCAAGTACCTGCTCTTCACGATGGTCCTGGTGACGCTGTCGGTGGTGGTGACGATCGCGGTGCTGAACGTCAACTTCCGCTCGCCGGTTACCCACCGGATGGCCAAGTGGGTGCGGGTGCTCTTCATCCAGGTGCTGCCGAGGTTCCTGTTCATTGAGCGGCCGAAAAAGGACGACGACGACGGGGACGCCGATGGGAACGGCGAGGACGGCGACGCCGAGGGGGGCGCGGGGGGCGGCGTGGCGGACGAGCCGGAGGTCGAGATCGACGCCGACGAGAGCGACCTAGACGCAAAGCCACCCGAGGCCATCCTGACGGACGTCTTCCACCTGAGGGAGCCGGACAAATACGAGCCCTACTGCCCCAAGAGGTTCGTCGGTCCCGACTACGAGGTCCCGCTCCCGGAGGCCGTGGCGGAGGCCTGCTTCGACGGGGGCCTCCACGCCCTGCCCCTCCCCGGGGCCGACGACGACCTCTTCGGGCCCTCCAGCCCCGGCTTCCCCAGGGACGACGCCAGTCCCACATTCGAGAGGCCCGTCGTGCGCGAGATCGAGAAGACCGTCGAGGACGCCCGCTTCATCGCCCAGCACGCCAAGAACAAGGACAAGTTCGAGAGCGTGAGTCTCTCCCCGGACCGCTGCGGAACCGCATGCGGCCCCGCGTGTTCTTTCCGACAGTCCACTCGGCGATTCCCTTGTCCGATTCGGCCGCAACCGCGAGAGTCGCCTCTCCGATGATGCTTTCCTCGTTCTTCCCCCGAAATTCCGCGCCTCCGCGCGTTGTAGCGGCTCCGACCGGGCGGAAAACGCGACCGTTAGAGGATCGATACAGCGCGAATCTTGCTTTAATCCCCCGTGGGAAAAGTTTCGTCCGTCGCGGGTTGATCGACGATCGGGTCCGAGGTCGCCGGCGAAGAGCCCTCGAGCGGATTTCCCGACGCGGGTGGAGTTCCGTCCGGCGACGGCTTGACCGCCGCCCCGGCGCTGAAAGGGCCGCCGTCAAAGCGACGGCCGCCACGGAAACTCTCTCGACGGAACGGCGGATTAAGGACCACGCTTAAATCTCGGCTTCGATCGAGCTATCACTGAGTGTAAAAAACCGCGCGTCTCGAAACGGAACGGAGGAGGACCTTAATTGGACGACGGCCAATCTTTATCAGGATGGGGCGAGTTACCTCCGCGGCGATTGATACCTCCGACGTCGGGGACGAGTCGCGCGAACTCGAGAACCGATCTCTAAAGCGCGGAATGGCCTCGCGTGCCTGGCCGATAAAACCGAGGAGAAATCCGCGCGAAAGTATCGCGAGGGGGAAATAAGGAGCGGAACGTTCCGCGCGAGAGTTGCGTCGGGTTAAATCGCGGCTGCAAATCTCGAGACTGCAGCCAACGCGGCGCGAAACGAGCGCGGACTCTCGTAAACGCACTCGATGCGTTTACTCGCGGATCCTTCCTCGTTAGCCCGTTTACATCGGCCCGCGAGGAGGGAGGGAACGATTCGGAGCTCGTTACCGCTCGAGTCGACGTTTCGAGTCGTCTTGCCTCGACGATTTGAGTCGACGTTGCGAGCCCTAGGTCTAACGCTGCGAGTCGATCTTTCGAGTCAACGTCGCGGGTCGAAGCGGCATGGCCACGTCCCGAATTAACGCTACGAGTCGAGGTCGCGAGGGTGCAATTACGAGTCGACGACTTGAGTCAACATTTCAAATCGGCGGGGCGAGTCTACTTCTCGAGTAGCAAACCAGGTCGCCGTTTCGAGTGAACGTCTCCGAAACCGCGCGTCGCCCCGTGACATTCCCCATCGACGGAGGAGTCGGACCTCCTCGCCAGGAAGGGGCGGTCTCGCGATCGCGATCTCCTCCTCTGGAAGCCGTCCTCGTTCGATACACCCGGCGCGGGTGCGTGGCCCCCCGGGTCCTTCCGGCGTCCCGGCTGGCGCCCGTCGAACTCGGTAACTTATTCCGCAGGCCGGAGGGGCACAGCCGGTGGCCCGGAGTGAATTATTCGGGCAAACTATCTCTACGAGGAACGCACTGCGGCAGGCACCCTGCTCCTTGCCAAATCTAGCCCATCTTCGTCCTAACGTATATGACGGCCCCAGAGTCGGAGCCAACGCGACGCCGCGGACGAGGCTCTCGGTTCGATAAGGCCGAGTCGTATCTCCCCGAAGCCGTCCTCCAGGACGCAGGATCTCGAGTCCGATCCGTCGCCCCGGGTCGAAATTTCGTTTCCAACAACCCCCGGACGCGTTTTCCGCCCTTTCCGCGCGTGTCAATCATCCCGGGCGAATGAAAACGAAGGGGCTCCCTCTGTTGCAGGTGGAGGAGGACTGGAAGTACGTGGCGATGGTCCTCGACAGGATATTCCTGTGGATCTTCACGGTGGCCTGCGTGATCGGCACGGCGCTGATCATCTTCCAGGCGCCGAGTCTGTACGACACGACGAAGCCGATCGACATCAAGTACAGCAACATCGCGAAGAAGAAGATGATGCTGATGAACATGGGCCCCGAGGAGGATTAGTCGACGATGCCGCGCGGCTCAGGCCGCCAGGACGTACGGTCGCGAGCGGATCGGCTCTCGCAGGGCCCCGGGTGGTCGGCTGAGGGCGAGTCGGGGCCCCCAGGGGGTCGCGCGAGCCGGTTCGGGCCGGGGCTCCCTCAGTCGCGCGCCGACCGCCGCGCGTGACGGACGCGCCGCTCCCGGGGGCGCTCGGAGGGCCCCTGCCGATGGCCGCGAGTGGGTCCTTCGGCGCGGTCCTCCGGGGGGAGGGGGGCCGCGGGAGGGCGACGACGACGGCGACGGATGAAGAGGGAAAAAGTGCCAAATATCCAAAACGCGAACCGTATTTTTGTAAGTCTGGTTTCATATATAAGGCTAATAGTCGTGCGGTGAATCGTCATTTAAAGCTGAACTGCCGATTTTATAAGAAGACGTTTAGCAAGGAAACACGCGAAGAAACACACACACACAAAAAAAAAAAAACTGAGATACGAAGGGAATGAGGAGGTGGAGGAGAAGTTAATAGGTAACAACCACCCATTAATCGCTTGTACAACAACTGCCAATTCGGAGAGCGGCCTCCGCCTCGCCGCCCGGCCGCGACGGAGGAGGGAGGATTGCGAGCATCGAGCGAGAGACAAAGAGGGTGCGCTGGGGGCGAAGGAACCGGCGGGCCGGATAGCGAGCATCTGTGCCAAAACTCGCTCCGTGGAGACCGAGCGAGTAGCCCGCGTGCCAAATGGTTAATCGAGATCTTCGCGGACGAGCGCCGGAGGATTATGCCGCGCTTTTTTGGGAGGGACTCCCTTACCCGAGGGAGCACCGGGAGTGGAGGGGCGGCCGTCGGGCCCACGCCCTGCCGGTGGAGGCGCGCGGGCGAGGACGCGCGCAGGCCACCCTTCCAGGGCCCAGAGGGGCGCCCCCCCGCGAACGGCGCGACCTCGCGCGGCGAGGGTGGCCGCGCGAATGCGGACGCGGGATCGGGAGGTCACGCGGGGAGGGTAGGGGGGACGAGACGACGCGCGCGCGCACACGCCCACGCGACACACACGTACACACGGGATTACGCCGGCGAGGGATGATATGGGCGCCCCAAGGGCGCCTCCGCCCCCTCGGCTCGGCGTAATAATCAATTCGTTTGCTCATATAAAAATAACGGTAATGTTANTAATTTAATTACCTACACCTAACCGTCGAGCGACGTAACGATCACGGTGCCGAGGGCAACCTGAGGACCGATTTCTCGACGGAGCGTTAGTCTCGAAGGGGATCCGAGAAGATGGGGTCGAGGGCGCCGGGTCCAGGGGAAATGCGGCGCGGCGATTGGCCGACAGGCCGCGGATCCAGGGGAAACCCGCCGCGCGCCGTGTCTCGCCCTCCGGCGGAAGGGAGAGCATTAATCGCGGAAGTTCGACTTCGATCCGCGGCCTAAGTACCTCCGTTCGTAACGACGCTAATCTTTCTCCGGGGGAGGAGGGAAGCTCTTCGGAGGGCCGAGAGAGAGAGAGAGAGAGCGTCGGCCCCGCGATCGATCGGCCAACGAAATAAATAAACCGACGACTCCGGGTCGCTCCGCAATTTCGTTCGATCGCGGACGCGAGGACCGCGAATCAATGGCTCTCTCTCTCTCTCTAACCGCGGATGGAATCGAGAGGGTGAATACGCGGATCGGTAGGGGGGAGCGGTCGACCCGGGAGGGAACTCGCGAGGCGCCGCCACTTTGGGTAAAGACGAGATCGCGTCTTTGGTCGGCGATTTTCGAGAATTATCTCTCATTGGGGAGGTGAAGAGACGCGGAAAAAGCGGGGGGGTCGCAGGGTGGAGTGGAAGGGGGGGTCGTCGTTACGCGCACTTTAGCTTAATTTCCGTAGTCGCAGCCTCCTAGAGTGCGTTCGCCGCCGGCATCTAGTAACTTGTAACCGGGGATTTTGCATTTTTCCACAGAGCCAGAGATAAGGGGGAAAAAGATAAAAGTTAAAAAAAAAAACAAGTAACAGAAAAGTATATTGAAACAGAAATTATGAAAGTATTACGCTATCTCGTCCCAGCGCGAGCGTTCGACTGGTCTCGCAGCCGAGCCTTCTCGTCGCGACGGAGAGAGAGGCCTCGTTTCGACGGATTTTCACCTACGGGGGGCAGGTTAGCGGGGCGAGGATCTGTACAAAGGGCAAGCACATCCGTCGTAACGTAATCGTATAACGAGCACTTCCGGCGTCAGTCGATTCCGCTTTTTTTCTCTTTTTTTTTGTTCTACGTCGGTTCTCGCCGGGGGTCGGGGGCGATCGGTCGGCCGACCGCCACGTGGCTGGGTGTGATTTTTTATACTTTTCAGAAGGAATATATATAAATGTATATGTATATATATATATATATTTCTGTAAGCGCGCACATCGGCCCGCGCACTTCGGAGACGGAAAAACGCCGGAATTAAGGAGGGGAGGGAAAATCGGTTCGGTCGTTTCGAGGACTCGAGACGAGCGGACTTTGGATTTTGGCAATCGCAATTGGGGGAAAGAGAGAGAGGTATTAATCGAACGGCTGTCGGACAGGGAGAGGAATATTGGGGCAGGAGGGGGGAGGAATCGATTTCGCGAGTTCTACCTAGGGTCATACCAGTCTCTGTACACGATTAACACACCATAGTCACGCTAACGATCGTTAATCTAATAACTCTAATAACTAACGATAAATAATACCGCTAAATAATAAAGAAAAGTACTAATAAGCGTAACGGGAATAATAACGATACTAATAATACTAACGCTAATAATAAAAGGACGTTAATGGTTGTCGTAACGAGTTGGTGACGGTGTAACGCTTGCATAGATACGTGTTAACCGCGACGAGAGTTACGCGGGGATAGGGGAGGGACGTAACGTGTTATCACGGTTATCGTGGAGTAATCGACGCCGACGAGAAGGACGGGGGGAATCGGGGCGAGATCGAGGGCTCCGTCGAGTCGATCGGGACGGTGACGGCCCTCGATACGTGTTGTTGATAATTCGCCATTATTAATTGACCACGCCGGGCCGGGGCCCGTCGCTCAATTAATCATGCAAGATAATCAAAGGACGTGCTCGTGTGCCGCGGGGAACGGGCGGTTGTTTTTCGAGAGCTTCTCTCGCACCCTGTCGCGCAGCACAGAGTGCACCCAATCACGCGTCTTCCTTGTATACAATTTAATCGAGATACGTCACGACCACGAGAACAGACCCGAAGGAACGGAGGCAGAGCTGGCCGAGCGCCGTCGACGTCGGATCGACGGACATCCGACCGAAGACCAAAGTGGAACTCGCCCGAAAGTGGAACCGCGCTCGGGCGCAGGGGCCTAGCCCACTGCGGCAAGGTGCCGTTTATTTTCCCTCTTTTCTTTCGATTTTTTTTTTCTTTTTATTTTCTTTTCTCTATCTAAGCGAAGCACTCCCGAGTTCTCCGCCGGATGAAGGATCGACGAGGCGCCCTCTGCCTCCTTCCGTACACGCTACGCACGCGCACCCACGTACACACGCATACACACGCGACACAAGCCTCGTATTAGGGAATTAAGGGACGCCGCGAAAAGCGGCGCGTAAGTTTAAATAAGTATCGATTAAGTAGATTAGGTCGGTCCGCGAGTCGCGTGGAAATCCGCGGAGGGGGTTGGGGAGGAAACGGGGCCTCGAGGGAGGTCCCGCTCCCTCTCGACGTCGGAGGTGGACGTCGGCTCGCTCCCGAAATCCTGGAGGCCCCCCCGCGACTCGCACCCTCCGTCTCGCAGCGGGAGACTTTTTTACGAAAGGCGAAAGGGGAAAGTAAAAAAACAATAGTAACGAGTTCCTCCCGCGTCGTTCCCCTTGCTGCCTTACGCGTTCCCCGCGTTTACGACCCCCGTTCCCGTGTAGAGGGCCCGCGTTCTCCGTAGCCCCCTCTTCCGGATCACCTAGGGCTCCCTCGGGGCGACCTTCGACCTCCCCGGGACGTCTTGGCCGCGTCTCCGCGGAATATTGTCGAAAACGTCGAACGCGGCATGAAGGGAGGACTCTGGCGCCCCCGGACGTCCGGCGTCCCCCTGGAATATTGCTCCCCTCGTTGCCTTGAAATTCCGCTCCTTTCAATAAGGACGCAACGGCCCCGTTACGTCGTGGGACGTTCACCGTCCCGTCGTATATTGCTCCCCGGGACATTCCATCTCGCGATCCTCCGAAAATCCTTCCCCTCGCGTCGTCGTCGGTCCAGGGCGGAAGGTGGGGCCGAAAGTACGGTTTCCTCACGTCCATCCGACGCCGTTAACGGGACGTCGGACATGCCCCATTCGTCGGATCGGTCGGGAAAAGAGACGCCCCGCCTTTTCGGGGGTCCGTCAATCCTGGTCTCGATGATGAGTTTGCCTGTCGCCGAGGTTCCGCCGCTGTATCGAGAAATCGAATCGCTCAGGGCGCGCCGTGCAAACTCGGTCGGCTGAAATACGTAGCTTTTTAGATCTGGGTCTTTCGCGACGGTCCATCCGCCGCGGTTCTTCGGCTCCCTCTTCTGGAACACCCTCCACTCGGTGGAGGAGGCGAAGGGAGGGAAGAGGAAGGCCGAGGTACGAGCCGCCGGGGCGCAAACGCGACCGAGTTTCTCCCCCGGAGAGGCCATCGGAGAGACCAGACCCTGAAGAGTCGCCTCCGCGACGGCTTCGTCCGTCGAGAAATCGTTCCTTCCTTCGACCCTCTCGACGCGGCATTGATTCGGTTCGGGCAAAGTTCACCCGGCGCGGCGGCCCGCTCGGATCAGCCATTCGCCGCGAATTGGGTCACTTCTTGAAGAGACCCGGCGAAATTTCTCCCTTGGAATTCCCCCTGAAAAGAGGCTTTTTCAGAGAACCGACGACGTTCGCGGCGACCTCGAGGAGCGGACTCGGTCCCGGAATCGCGAGGGCGCCGAGACGCCGGGCCACGCCCGAGGCGCTCCCGAAGACCCCCTCGACCCTCGCCCCCGCACCCCCTCGTTCCTTCCGCAGGGCCGGGATAGGTGCGGAACAGCTCAGGAATTATAGGTCG